TACCATACCATACCATGTACCATACCATACCATACACTGTACCATACCATACCATACCATGTACTGTACCATACTATACCATACTCTATACCAGACCATACCGAACCATACCATACTGTGCTATACCATACTGTAACATACTGTACTGTACAATATTATAACATAATGTATCATACCATATCAAACCATATCATACCTTATCATGCCCTACCATCCCATCCCATATCAAACCAAACAGTCTTTACTACAAAGCATTTAAAAAAACAGCAACAGGTCAGGCCAGAGTGCTGTACAACAAAACAAGCAAACACAAGACAAATAATAAAATTCATAAACCTACTGAAKTAAAAATAAGCACCTATTTAAAACAAACAGATAACTACCTAATRACTAAATAAATAAATTAATAAAAGCACAATGAGGTTAAATTCTTCCCACACTAGGTTGAAGGCCAGGGAGTCAAAGWGTATTTAGATGGAGGTTTAAAAACAGCGAGTAAAGCAGCCTGCCAGTGCCAGACCACTTTAGAGTTTTGGACCTGCAACAGRAATGAGCTCTGAGCTCACATCGCTGCCTCAGAACATTTCAAAGCACCTGATCTGCTGACCTCAGAGAGCGCTGCGGTGCACACCTMCATCTAATGAACCCAATTTTAAACGGCCGTAGGTCAACTGACTCTGAGAAGTAATCTTTGGATGTCCATCAAAAACTGATTAACTTTAGGAGTCATCCCAAGTTAAAACACCTGCTTCAGCTAATCAACATTAGCATGACTGTAACTCAGTCAGTCTTACAGCTGGATGTGGTAGTAGCTGAGAGTCATCCTCCTGATATACTCCTCTGAGCTCTAACAGACTCACATTGCATGACTCTTCTCCACATTAAGATGATTTTAGATTGTTAATTTGAAAGGTGGTGGTTGTTCAATGTAAATTCAGACATTTTGTTAAAYGCAGCTCGAGTCTCGTAGAGTTTGGAGGGACATCAATGAGGCGCAGACAAAAGAGAGAAAGACCTGTCCCCTAACTGCCTCRCAAAACCACAAAAATCCTTTGTTCTGCTTGAATCGTTCCTCGGCTCTGCGGCGGCGCTCACACCGCTGTGCACGGTAGATGAAAGTCTGGACTTTCAGCACGCATTAGATAACCGTGTTTGATTCAGGGGATCGACGCAGTTCAGGTGGAGGAGATGAGYTCACGGAGAGTGCGAAGCCCCGAGACCGGAGCAACAACATGTTTGTTTGTTATCCCTCCTACGGCCTCGTGGTCTGATCGCTCACCCAGGAGTCAGAGAGGAGAACGACGGGCCCACATGCAGCAGACTCAGAGCAGAGGGAGAATTTGATACCACAACAGAGATACTGCTGGGTATTCAGAGCAGAAAGAGATAATAGTATTCACAGCACAAAAAAAAACCACAATATGGATTTCAGGCATTAAACCCAAATGGAGGCATTGGGAATGTAGCGGGGCAGTCTGCAGCTCAGCCTGTGATTACACAGCGGTGCAGCGAAAGTGATTTTTTTTCCTTTTTTTAAGACTGGGGGCATTTTTCATCGGAGCACACAGAGAGGGTGGTGTAATAGTTTTTGTCTTACTTGCAGTAGGTGTCGTTTATCATGCCGTAGATGTGGATCTCTTTGCACATGTCCATGGCGAGGATGAGCGTGAACCAGCCGGTGCTCAGGTAGGAGCCGGACTGAATCCTGCAAACACAAATCACACGTCTTAGTTAGCATAATGTTCATGTGCATTAAAATATTCATTCCTAATTAGCATTTACAGAATTCCACTGGTGTTTCTGCGACCTTTTGCGCTCCCTGCTCCTGGGCGCTTGTTTTACAGCTGATCTTTATGCTCCAGATCTGACCCTCGGGACTGAATTTAAATTTMAATGTGCAGCAGGAACTAGGCCTGTCACGATAACAAATGTTKCTGGACGATAAGTTGYCTCAGAATTTATCGCGATAAAYGATAACATTGTTCGGGGACCATTTTAAATGAATAAACTTC